CGGGACGCCGGTGACGGCAGCAGCCCTACCCGGGACGCCTGTGACGGCTGCAGCTCTACCCGGGATGCCTGTGGTGGCTGCGGCTTGACCCGGGACGCCTGTGGTGGCTGCAGCTCTACCCGGAACGCCTGTGACGGCAGCAGCTCTACCTGGGACACCTGCAATGACTGCAGCTCCCCTAGGGACGCCTATGACAGCTGAAGCTCTACCCGGGACGTCTGTGGTGGCTGCAGCTCTACCCCGGACGTCTATAATGACTGCAGCTCTACCTGGGACGCCTATGACGGCTGCAGATGTAAGCGAGATGTTTGTGGGCTTCAGCAGTGCAGCTCCAGCCTGAAAACGTGACGGTTCCATGTTGCTGTTCAGGATAATACAAATTTCAGCAGGTGACAACTTTGTTAAGCTTTTTATCTTAATTGGTGGCATTGTACGTACGTAGGCAATGTACCATGCATATGGCTGCACACATCACATCATATATGAAGCCACTTTTCCACCTTATGCCGTATTTACCACAGGGATCAGCATTGTTCTCTACGGAGCACAAAATCGCTATCAATTCGATCTTTTTTTTAAATCGCGTCATATGCCGCTGCGGTACAGTTACGCAAAAGCCCTGTCGCTGCGGTACAGCCACGCAAAACCCTGCACTCGTTAGCTCATGTGTTGAAAACTGCGACCTCCAGAGGTCATGATATGCTATGTCGATGGCCGGAATTAGCCCGTAAGACCGTTGAAACCAGCCGTTGTTTTGATCACCTTCAAATGAACGCCAGTATATTATAAAACCCATTTGGCATCATGGCTGCTTGCACTCTCCCTCTCCGCAGCTCAAGTCTGAACTGGACGATTCAGGAACAAAGCCTGGACGACTCAGGAGCAAAGCCATATCAGGTCAGACCATATTACCAAAATTAGACACAAACTGTACATTATTGAAAAGCTTTAGTCAGTTGAACATACTCGTAAAGCTCCCTTGGATCGATCATTCTTTTCTGTAAAAGTAACCCGTTTATGTAAGCCATTAGTTTTTCCCCTTAAGTCTATTTTTCTACAGCAATCACTTAGTAGCCCACGGAGCTCAAAATCGTAACGCTTTGAATTAGTATTAATCATTCATTTATTGGTCGTGGAAGTACACTTTGTTTTGTCAGATTTGGTAGTTGTCCCGCCTCTTGGAAATACGACGCAGTTCTTTTAGAAACTGTTTCTACACACTGCACTCCGTTATCAAAAACCTCTTCCTGGGTAAACAAGGCAGGCTGAGTGCCAACGGTAATATTTACGGCTGCCTCCGCTTTATCATCCAACGTCTGCCTTCAATCGGGCCCACGACAAGCCAGACTGCAGTCGTTTGGTCGTGCGCCGTCGCACACCGCTGGATTTGACCACTCGCGGACGGTGACAGCGCGGCGGCGGACGCGGCGCGATGGCTACATTTGGTGGTGCACCGGCTGGTGGGCGGCCGTCCTGGCGCGCCACATGCTCCAAACTTTCCAAATATTCCCAGAAACGGCTGTCCTCAAGGCAAACTTGATGCAGTGGAGAGTGCTCTTTAATTCTATACAGGAAGCCAGTAAGGCCTTTATGGGCAGTTTGCGGACGGCGGCGGCGATAATTGCTGGCATTCTGGGAAGGCCCTGGCCTGCTGGTCCCCTCTTTCCTTAACTGGTAGCAGTCTGATAGACATTCAGCGGTTTTGGTAGAAGGGCGTGGGGGAGTGCGCGGCCCTCGAGCCACCACCACACAATTAACGACTCACAGCAGCACACAAGCAAAGCGGGAACAGTCCCGAACATGACGTCATACAATGAACGTATCAGGTGTATCTCCGTACTAATTTTGACGCTAGCCAGAAGCTTGGTCACAGTCCGTTCGTTACAACCACACCCCTGTAGAATTTCCTGACAGCGTTGCACACCAGTACCGCCTACAATAGCCCTGACAACAGCACAGGCCAACACTACTTGTGGAAATTCCTGCAAACGCTGTTACGGCAGCGCAATATTCAATTAACCGGCGTCCTGTTCTTGGAAGAATGCAGGAGATCCCTCTCCTCATAAAGAGCAGAACATTCCAGCCGGAGGGAGACGGCTCCGCGCCGGGCGTACGCGATTGTCCCGGATGGCGAGCGTGTCCGAGGGCGCGCGACGGCGGACGGCCGGCGTTAAAGGTCGGTCAGCGATGGCGGGCCTGTGATCGGCACCGAGGGGGGTGGGTGGGGAGGGGCGCGCGAGCCGCGGTTGACCTTAGGTCCGAGGTGTTTCTTATGATATGACATGTCGCCCTGATGTGAGTCATACGGTAACGAAAGAAAGACAGACACTGACTACGGCCATTTTCGATTTTGATGCTACGTGATTGTTTAACACGCGCTCTGGTGGGGTCAAGTTGACCCCCACAAGTTTTCTGGAATGCTTTCTTTCTGTAGCTGCGCCAAATTTTGCATAGTTGTAGACAATTGAATAGAGGATCTTTTGATGACAAAGAAATTTAAATGTACCTTGCAAGTTTGCTGACCTATGACAGATCAAAATCAGGCCATGCATTCAGCGAAGTCAATTTCTAGGGAATCGTTTAATCTGATTCAACAACTGAGTGTTAGACGAAGCCATGCATCTCTGAGATGCTTTCTAAGTAAACGTAATAAATGAATGAACAAATTCCATTGACCTAGGGTCAGGTATAAACGTCAGACCGAGGTCAAAACCGACCTATGTGTTATTACTCGAGGGCTTGCTGTATGGGATAGCTTCTGGTGCTCATTTCGAATTTGTTGAAAACAGAAATCACATTATAATCTTTCATGGACTTTTTAAAACTCAACATAGGTTACTGGCCTAGAATAGCCCAGGTCAACCCTTTGTTTTTAGGAACATACCGTCTAGCGTAATCTTTTTAGCTTATTCAAATGCAAAACTCAAAGCGGTCTTTCATGATTTTGGTCACCATGACCTTAGAAAGATGAAACAGAGTCACTGACCTTGAATGAGGATTTTACCTTTTGCTTACAACGGGTGTCTAGGGTCTGGGGCACTTTGGACACCAACCTGGAGATTTACCTTGTTTGACCTTATTTAACCCAAAAGGTCATAAACAAGGAACCTCAAAATTTGACCCAAGTGAGTCCACGCACAGGCCATTATACCCTATGAATTCGGTGTCTGCAGCCCTCTCAGTTTCTGAAATCTCAGGGGTGGCCAAAATGACCCCCCACCCAAGCGAAGGGTATCCAGCCGGCCACCCGGGAGCGTGAGCGTGACAATAACAGCTCAAATCGCTTGATTGTAATCATTATCCAATGGAATCAGAAACAGATGACATCAGCAATCATGGAAATAATGTCAAAATGCCACTACATACAAAAGGTCAATTTTCAACTGACTAAATCAGTCAGTCCGGCTTAAGTTGCCATTCTACTGCTATGGCCCGGTTTGTGTATACTTGCACGGTCAGACCACAAAGACAGTACCGTTTGCCATCATCAGATTCGGCTGATCAGCAACAGGTTGAGGAATTTATGACCGGTATCATCTCCTACCGAAAACAGATCTGAAATATGTTTGCGTTTAAATAAGGACGGATCCCACGATTTTTTTTCGGCTAGCCGTGGCCAAATCTAGAGGTGAGATGCACGAATAGGATATGTTGAAGCTTAAGGGCAAAATTTGACCGATACACTTGTAATAGCTTCTCACTTCCATCGTTGCAATACCTGCGAAGCCCGATGTCATCCACCAGGCTTTCCTCGCCTAGACTTTCCAGACCGGACTTTCCTTTTCGCCCGGACTGCCTTCTAAATGTACGATTTGATGGCCTAAAGCGTTCAGATGTGCTTCTTTCACATGTGTCATCATTTTCGCTCACCCATTGGCCACGACTTAATATTAATCATGAGGGCAACCCTGCGCAGCCTATGGAGACTGCAACGCCTGGCGCCGAGGTTTCTGTTGCCAAGATTTGCGAACGTGCATGCTCAAAACTATGTTACATGAATTGCAGCACTGATAGATGCTAACTGCATGATGAACATTTCCAGACAACATGGCTTGGCCGTGTTGATACACATTGTTGGTCCATTTCGATCTACATCTACATACACGGAGTGTTTAATATCTTCGTAAAACCCAGGTCAAAATTTTGGCCAACCCTCCGAGTTTTATCGGTTTAGAAATAGTCTGTTGAACCATTGTAGAACAAGGAGAACCGGCGGCTTGCTTCATGCAGTCGTTTTACGCATGATTTTTCAGCTTATTAACTGCAAAATTCGGGCAGAGTTGATCTCGCGGTAGCTTCCGGCTTTTATTCCAGTTACAGACCGGAAAAATGGAGAAAAAAACAAAGAAAAACACGTCCCTGTTAACAAATAAGCTATACCGCACAATTTTTCGGGGGCGGGGTCACTATCAGGAGTCCATTTTTAACCCTGTACCCCTCCCTGCCAAGGTTCTGGCTGCACCCCTGTGTGAGGGTTAATATTTAATGCCACAGCTGCCTACGTTCTTGGCGTGAGCCATCAATATCCAGCTAAAGAATAACATGATTGTGGACGACCTCCGGGAGCCGTTGTCCTCTTTCTCCCAGAACATAAGTCGGATATTCCTGCCATCGTCTCAGCACATGCTGGAGGAGGGCCGATGGTCCAACAGTCAGTTCGGGGCGAAACCTCTCCGTAGTGCTGTCGGCAGCGGCACCGACACCCAGGCCGTGACTGGCATCACAGCCACGTATACATGCAAATGGAACAGGAGCGGCGTAGCCTGGTTTTTCCGACTGGTGGGGCCGGCAGCACGGCAGAGGTGCCAGGCGCGGCCGGTGGTTCCGGTTCCGGCTCCGTTGCCGCCGCCTCGTCGCGGGCCGATGGCTGGCGCTACCGTGCCGGCCGCCGCCCGTCACACGCCTTTGTCAGCGACGGTCCCGCCGGCGGCACATTGTGCTCCCGGCACTGTCCCGGCCATATAAAGCCCCGCGCCGAAGCCGAGGGTCACCAGTGGTGCCGTCAGCAACCAGCAGTCATGGTACCGCTGATCCTACTGAGCCTGGCGTGCGTGGCGGCCGGCGGCGTGCTGACGCAGGACGAGACCAGCGCCCCCTGCACGCCCGGCACCGTCTGGACGACCGCCGACGGCTGCAACACCTGCTTCTGCCTGGCTGACGGCATGCCGGCCTGCTCGCGGATGGAGTGCGGCTCGCGGCCGGCGCCCGACATGCGCGATTACAACGACTTCTTCAAGCCGGAGCCGGCGCCGGAGCCGGAGCCGGTGGACGAGCGCACCGGGGTCAACTGCAGCCTGGGCGAGACGTGGCAGGAGCAGTGCAACTCGTGCGTCTGCCTGGAGGACGGCATGGCGATCTGCACGAAGGCGGAGTGCGCGGTGGACGGCAGCGCGCTGGCCGAGCGCGTCAAGGAGCGCTGCCAGGCGGGCGACACCTGGGCCGACGGCTGCAACGTGTGCCACTGCGTGGGCGGCAGCCAGGTGGTCTGCAGCCACGGCGTGTGCCGCAGCGAGCGCCGCCGCCGCCAGGCCGGCTGCACGCCGGGCTCGGAGCGGCGGGTGGCCTGCAACACGTGCTTCTGCATGGCGGACGGCGTCGAGGCGTGCTCGCGCCGCTTCTGTCTGCAAGAGCAGGCTTCGAGCCGGGCGGTGGGCGCCGGCTGCGCCGTACAGCAGTGCGCGGCCGACTGCGGCAGCAAGCGCGGCGCCGACGGCTGTCTGCAGTGCATGTGCGGCCCCGAGCCCTTCTTCGGAAGCGTCCCGTCCGTGCCCGAGCCACTCGACAGTCTCTGGGGCGGCCGCTGGCGCTCTGTCGGCGAGAAGTGAACAGCACCGGCCGACCGGACGCGCACGCGAGGACAAGGACCCGCCGGACGACAACGGGATGGGGAGGACAGAGATGAACCGCACGTGGAAGACGAGAATGAGACGCCCTGTCAGTTATGTGATGCACCGTTTTGATCAGACGCACACTGGTTTCAAGTTGCACTGGGAAAGCAGGATTCCTTTTTTACGTTTCATCGTGACGAACAGCTGAAGAGGGCTACACAGCACAGACTGGAACGCACGCTGTGCATTTTTGCACGATGCTAAATTTGGATGCATGAAAATACATTTTGGAAATCAATGTCTTATTTCAGTATATCTTGGAGCCTGGAGCATGAACGAAGCTTGATTGATGAGCAGCTGACAACCAATAACCAGGTAGATTAACAATCAGCTCAACAGCTGCGTTTGAATATCCATACCTGACCGTTTCGCGCGGAATGAAAGGCACGTCACTAAACGCTTGTCCTCCTATTACATCTGACAGGTACAGGCGTAGTCTATGACATCCATATGCGGCCAAACCAATGAAATTCCCCAGGAAATGTAATGCCCTCGTCACGACTCCTCTGCGGGGCTTTTCCCATACACATACACAGCGCAGGCAACCAATCTATTATTCAAATCAGTGAATCACCCCGACTGCCAATTGACGCCGGCGGCCGGGCGGCCACACCTTGCGGCCTGGAAAATTAGCATGTTCCATTTTGCCCGGAACTGTCGCCGGGCGGCGCGCCTCGGTGGCATACTGATGGCGGCTGCTGTCTGCCGAGGATGTCCGTCCCTGCGGCGGTCTGATCAACGCTGATGACGCACTGCCGCCATTTGCATATGTCAACGTTTTGACCGCGGCGCGCGTGCTATTATCACACGAAGGGGCTTTCACAGGCGACGAATTCATGGGTTAAAGTTTTCGCAGCCGACTGCTATGAAAATTGCCTCGAAGGAAAATGCCAAGGCCTCGGTCGAGATTACAACCACTTTGAAGCGCAGGAATCATACTTGTGATCAGATTTAGAGAGACGAAATTGAATTGCAGTGGGACCTCGGTCGTTGACCAGCAAACTCGGCCGCGTTCGCAGGCCTCGGGCAACGCGCTGTGTGACCCGAGCTGACATTTCAGGGCGATGGGACAGCCGCCATCCGCGAAATATGCGACTGTCATCCGCAAGTTTATGTAGGGCTCCCCTCCACCCACGATCAAAGCCCACGGGCACCCTTTCATATGCAATGTCATGCATCATATACCGGGCCGTCCAGTGGGTGTGAGCCGGTCGTCCGGTGGGCGGGGTGTGTGATCCGGTCTTCCAGTGGGCGGGAGGTGTGAACCGTCCAGTCATCCAGCGGGCGGCAGGCCGTGAGCCGGTTTCAGTGGACGGAGGCGTGAGCCGGTTTCCATTGGGCGGAGGTGTGAGCCGGTCTTCCAGTGGGCGGAGGTTGTGAGCCGGTCTTCCGGTGGGCGGGGTGTGTGAGCCGTCCAGTCGTCCAGTGGGCGAGAGGTGTGAGCGGTCGTACAGTGAGCGGGGAGGTGTGAACCGGTCGTCCAGTGGGCGAGAGATGTGAACCGGTCGTGCAGTGGGCGAGATGGTGAGCCGGTCCTTCCAGTGGGCGGGGGTGTGTGAGCCGGTCCAGTCGTCCCAGTGGGCGAGAGGTTGTGACCGCCGGTCGTACAGTGAGCGGGAGGTGTGAGCCGGTCGTCCATTGGGCGGAAGTGTGAGGCCGATCGTCCAGTGGGCGGGAGGTGTGAACCGGGTCATCCAATGGGCGGGAGGTGGAGCCGGTCGGTCCAGTGAGCGGGAGGTGCGAACCGATCGTCCAGCGGGCGAGATGTGTGAGCCGGTCGTCCAGTGGGCGAGATGTGTGAGCCGGTCGTCCAGTGAGCGAGAGGTGTGAGGCGGGTCGTCAGTGGGCGAGAGGTGTGAGCCGGTCGTCCATTGGGCGGAAGTGTGAGCTGATCTTCCAGTAGGGCGGGAGGTGTGAGCCGGTCGTCCAGTGGGCGAGGAGAGTGTGAGCCGGTCGTCCATTGGGCGGAAGTGTGAGCCGATCTTCCAGTGGGCGGGTGTGTGAGCCGTCCTGTCATCCAGTGGGCGGGAGGTGTGAGCCGTCCAGTCGTCCAGTGGCGGGGGTTTGTGAGCTGGGTCGTTCAGTGGGTGGGGTGTGTGTAAGCCGGGTCTTCCAATGGGCAGAGGTGTGAACCGGTCGTCCAGTGGGCGGGAGGTGTGAGCCGGTAGTGGTGTCGTGTGTCAAACGAGCACCAGCCCTCTGGATGCTGGTGATGAGATTGTGATGCTGATGCTGGCAGCGGTCATAGGCGATGTTAGTGGTGCCGGCGTCATCTAAACGGCCCTTGCTCCCAGTAAGCGGCAAAACCCTCTCCGAAATAGGATTGTCATGGATCAGTAAGGCGCTTTTGAGGCGCGGAACAGACGGGATGACAGGACTCGTGCTTGTGATCGCCATATGAGCAATACCATACCTACATCAACAGGACCGGCCGCTTCAAAGAACACACCTAAATCGATCTTAAGAATACAATCAGGAGGCTGTCTTCCATACGCCTCACGGGCAAGGAAGTCCGGCTCTTTAAAGAGATTACTTGTTGATAAATGGCATAGCTTCTTAACTGACTAGCTGTGGACATTGCCACGCCCGACAGCTTCAGTCGACAAATCTATCAGACAACAAAGGTCAGAAACAGCTTAGTTCAGTTTATTTGTCGTGTGGCAAGATAACGGAGGAACATTTCAAGCGAGGAACAGGTGCTGTCAGGAACCAAGGTGTGAGCCCAATAGCATACAAATGAAGAAAATGTCATCATGCTGCCAAACATCGCGTTGATCACGTTTCATTTTCAATCAAATCCTGAAATCTCTTCATGCGGCAAGATTCCGTGACGTAGGGTGAAAGAGCGTGACATGGGGTTCGGTAATCCCTGACGCCGGAATACTGGCGGCAAAGATGAACAGCGTATTTGTCACCATTAGTTAGCCCTCGTGTTCAGGTTCCAGGACCGCCGCCATTCGCTCATTAAGCTTTGCAAAGTGGTGCCGAAGGTTTATCGCTATTGTTCCGACTGCTAGAGTCTTATATACTTATATGCTCCTGATCCAATCCTAGTGTCCTGAAATGTCCACGCACATGCGACCTTCAGTGCCGGCTAATGGGAAAACTGGACTTAGGAGTTTGGCCCCTAAACCCCCAGCGTTGACTGCAGTGATTTCTGTGCAGCTACGCAAATCATGAGAGCTACAGGTTCGCAGAGCACTGACCTTCCCCCTGATCACGTGACGACGAATCGCACCGTTTCCAAGTTCGTCGAATTACCAGAACCGGGAGGCAGATCCGTGCTCCTCGCTGCATTGCCCCGGAACACAGAAACGCATTTCGCACAGCGGCGTTCGCCTCTCACCGTCAAGTGCATAATAGGCAGACGTCACAGCCCGTCAGACGGCCCAGTGCGCGCGCAGCTGGCTCCCCGTCCGTCTTCATCAGCTGACAGCACCCCTCCCGCCCCACCGCAGGCCGGGCCGTACAGCTCGAGCGGCCCGCCGCCCGCCGAACCCGGCTGGCTGCCCCGCGTCGCGGCCGGCGGCCAGCTGGCCCCCACACTCAACGCCGCGCTGATGCTGATGTCAGAGGCACACCAGGGCCCGGAACGGACACGCCGCGCTGAGCGAAACGCGGGCGATGTCCGCAGTCTCATGCTTCACACCCAGAGTCCGGAGCGGACACGCCGCACTGATCGAGACGCGGCCGATGTCCGCAGCGTCATGCTGGCACACCGGAGCTCAGAGCGAACACGCCGCGCTGATCGAGACGAGGCCGATGTCCGCAGCGTCATGCTGCACACCCGACCGGGTTTGCAGTATTTGGCGTCCCATTACGGAGGAGCAGCGCCCGTCGCCGGTCAGACGGCGAGGCTCGCATCAATCATCACCGACTGGTACATATCCATGAATACAAGAAGCAATCCACACGACGTAGGGAAGCGGACTGATATGCTGGCGATGATGGAGGGCGTAAGCGTACCATACGCGCGGGCGTAACATCCCTTCGTAGACTGCAAAAACGCATGGCGGACTGGTGACACCTATGAACAGGAAGACAGTGGGTAGGCGATGCGGTTGCTTTGTCGGAGAAGTATGTGCTTCTTCAATCAGCTGTCACAAGCGACGATAAAATGCATGGATCCGATAATACCGGGCATAGCGCCGCCGTAATGGGATAAACGGAGGACCATTAATCGCTTCGCCTTATCCTATGGTGTGTCGTCGTGCGAAGGCGGATTAGTAGATCGTGATAATGATGCAAGGGAAGCTTAAAGTTCTGTGAAAAAAACTGGCGTGAGGCGAAAGACAAGGCTAATCGTACACATTTGCAGCAATAACCAAAGTTTTTGTCGCCTGGCCAAATCAGCAAAGATGGGATGCGATGCCATAGTTAACTTCAGAGAGAACCTCTTATTCAACATCACTACGCAGTCAATAAAGCCGCGAGCGATGTCTGATACTATTCGTTGATTACATCCCATAAGGACCCTGAAACATCTGTTCGCACAAGTGCAGGCCTCAAAGAAAGTGGTTTCCGGCTACTTCTGCGTGCAGTCGGTACATTCAGATACAACTCGACGAAGGCAGTCACGGACGCTAATAGTTGCGTTGCAAAAATACTGGCAATAGCTTACTGCTTGCGGACTGCTAATGATCATGGAATAAGTTAAAGGCAGTCTTGATTGCCACTTTACCTGTTCAGGTTTTTGCAAAGGGCACGAAAAAATCACGCTAAGGTTGATGCTATTCGAAGCCCTCACCTCGCGGCCTGCGTACAGTCAATAATTTGACAGCCTTCCTTCCCTACAAGGCCGCGTTTAGAGAGCACGAAACAAAAACCTTGGCAAACCGAGCGTATTATCCTAGGTCATTCTATTTCCTGCCCCACCTGATGGGCTGACTGGGCGATCCTGGAGCTAGTACCAATTCCGCGGCGCAGCAGACAACCTTTGACTGGTTCGTGGACAACGGAGGCGTAGCCTGTCGTGCTAACCACTGCCGTTAATCTGCGCATGTGGTGTCCGCCTCTGTGATTGACGTGATTGGGAATGGCCTGGCCCTGACCACGGAGGATGAGCCGTGCGCCGTTCTCTCAACGCAGCCCTCTGGCGCTGCATGTGGACTGCGTGGCGACTGCGCAAAGGACGTCGTGTTCAGGTCCACGCAAACCCAACGACGTAAACCGGATCAAGATGAAGTTGTTCACCCGTACCGTGTGATACCGCTGCTGGAGATGTGGTATCGGCAGCCA